AATAACAATAATAATAATAATAATTCTTAGTATTAGATTAATAATAATTGCAACAAGAATATTGGTAATAATGATAAAGATAATGTCAATAATAATAATAATAATAATAATAATAATAATAATAATAATAATAATAATAATAATAATAATAATAATAATAATAATAGTAATAGTAATAGTAATAGTAATAATAATAGTAATGGTAATAATAATAGTAGTAGTAGTAATAATAATAATAATAATAAAAATAATAATAATAATAATATAATAATAAAAATAATAAAATAAAATAAAATAATTATTATTATAATAATAATAGTTATAATCATATTAACAACAACAAGTATTCTTTGTCACATTTTGGTTGCAGATTCTTACAATCACAAATATATTATTCATAAATGTAATAGTCAAAAAGGATCGTTAAATTAAGAGAATACGTGAAATAGTGCTCTATTTGTTTTCTTTCGTTTTCTTCCTCTTTATCTTCATTTTCATTTTTATCATCCTCTTGTGTACAATAATTAAACCTATAAATAGTTCTATGTTCAAACAGCCAATGGTATAATAAAGTATACCTTTGAGGTACCTACGTAGTTTCTTCAAATGATACCAAATACAATACTGACGACAATGTGTAGCAACCCTGAACATAAGAGTTACACGGCCGTCAATCCATCGTGTCGGTATTATATTTTTATATTTTTATATTTTTATATTTATATATTTATATATTTATATTCAAATATTATCCGAAGCTAAGATCCGAAAAAGGCTTCCTTCCTTTTATATATATATATATGTATATATACATACTCATATATGTATGTTTTATATATATATATAAAATTATCGTGCTCTCCGCGTCCTTGTATACTTATTTTCATCGAATCGCGAAATCAATGTTTCAAACTCTTTTCTTGAATTTCCGATCCATTGATCGTTCATCAATCATAGATTCACACAGTCTTCTCGATTAATCCCTCGCGCAAAATACAGATTATTCATCTCAACGAGATCGAGAATAAGGTAATACATTCACCGAAAAAATCTCGACACAGCCAAACGGGAAACGAGAAACTTTTGGTCCTTCGAGTTCGAATGAGATTAAATATCGATATATCGTTCGATATTTCCATGACATCTTGTTTCGCGATTTTGAACCAATACCAAGGCAAAAAAACGGAAAGCACGATACGTTTATCTAGCTTCTTTAATTTTTTTTAATCGTCTTTCAACATTGTATTTGGTGATACGTATCTGAATACTGACTTCGTGTGTTGCAACGCTTACATATAATACAATTAGTATCCATTACGTATAAGGTGTATATGCATGTATGTACGATCGATATTTTTCCCCTATTTATATTTTCTTCTTTGCTACGATCCTCGATTCCTGTTTTCATTCTTCCTGTCTCTGGTCTCGTATTTAAACGTATATTATATAGATCCCTTTACCGTGCAAAATGTTGGCCGGCAGTCACTCGGACAACAGTTTTTGTAACAGGGACGATTGATTCACCTTTGGATCACCTCGAGCCACTTCCTCCATAGAAGTCTGAAAAATTAATTTCGTTCTGTTAATCGATATATTTTATCTTACGAGATTTTCTAATAAGAGATTTAAGATAGTGGCAACCAGTTTTATTTTTTGTTTTTATTTCGTTTTCTCTTTTTTTTCTAATTGTCATTTAGTTCAAAATGTAGAAAAAATTGGACAGAATATTGCGCGACAAAAATACGAAAAAATGATATCGTGAAGTTATATGTGTTGTGTATATATTTGTTGCATAATTCAATAATTGTTTCGTGCAGGAGATACGATATCAATTATTATTCTGTGCTACTTTTGATTTCACGATATTACATTATGTTACGTAATGAAACATTTTTTTAACAAAACATTAAAGAGTAAATATTTTTTGACATATGTAAGAAATGGAGAGAAATAAATATAAATGATTCCAAAAAAAAAAAAAAGATTTTTAAAATCGATTACAGATAAAATATAAAAATGATGTTAAATCAATATAAAAAAAATAATAATAATAAATAATAATTTAGAATAAAAGATCGCGTTAAATAATCCGTCCATATCCACATTTTGAATATTTATAAAATATATGACTCAAAACTAATGCGTTTCTGTTTAATGGGTTTGCGAGTATTCAAAAATCGTATAACCGAATAAAATAAAAAATTCATGAATTTTTGAAATATATTCTTTTTAATCATAATCATTTAATCGAGTTAAAAATTTTAATCGATTAATTTTCAATATCACGTTGACCCCTTTTTTTTTT